GCACAACAAATACCAAAATCTGTCATTGCCAGTGGGGAAGAAAATACATACAAACTCCCCCGGAGTTTCAGCAACACATTCGCAACTGAGTACTTCCAACCTCAATGCCTTGCGATCCTTTGATATTCAAAAAGGGCCAGGAGACACTTAAAAAACTGAAGGCGCCAATTAGTATCTTTTATTTTATAATGAGCTGTTTTCTACACACCTTGATTTATTTATTTTTACCTTTTGCGAGATCTTAAATTTATGTATGTGTCTTTTGACTACTTGAAGAGCACTCTAATTGTTTTTATAGGGGAGCTCTTCTCGATATCTTAATGCTTAAAAACACCCTTTAAAAGCGAAAAAAAAGGTGTGTGTAAAATCTCATTGCAGAACAGAACTTTTTACCTTATAAATGATCTATATTAAACTTATCATCCTTTGGCGAATTGTACGAGTATTCTCATTAATGAGCAATTCAATGTTCACTTTAAAAATATTGAAAATACTTCTTACAATTCACCTTTGAAGGGCCAACATTTTGGCCCTTCCTTATTTTTAAAAGAAAACTACCCCGCAAATGTTTAAAATGGGTGTGTTTTAGCATGATTTTAGCATACCCCTCCTAGATTATTGCCGATAAATCCTTATTTCTAAGCTGTGCTTCTCAGATTTCAGGCCTGGTTCCGTAACATATCATTGGTAAGATGAGACTGCGGCAAACAAAATGGTACTTACGAACCTCGGTCCGTCATTTCGAGGGCCCATAAATTGGAGATAATATTATTGAGCGACCACAGCTTCTTCAGTTTTAAGCATTATGTAGCTTATAAGGGCTCAAGAGATTGAGGAGACGCCCCGCTTTCGTTAAGAGTGCTTAAATCGCGATTAGGAGTCAATATTTTTTCAATTTTAGAGATACAAGTGTTATTTAAAATCCCTTGCTAAAAGCAATTGAATAAGGTACTTTTACATTTTTTCGATGAAGGTTATGTCACAGCTTCGATTAAGTGCGAAAATCAAAAGGCCAATTAATCTCGATTATCTCGACAACTCTAAATGGTTCGTAAGTATCATTTTGTTTGACGCTGTCTCAGATGTACTTTGAAGTAGTAGAAATAAAGGTTTTGTGCGAATGCTAGATCTTGTTGCGCAATTTAAGTTAATTAGAAGAATTAGAGCTGTGTGCTAACGGAGTAGCTGTGGCTCATAGCCCAATACTTCATGCTCATCGTAGAGCTAAAACTACAGACAGCATTTTGTGAAACAATGGTAGACGTAAATTTTTGTTTAGTATAAACGGGCATTAGGCCATGGTGGCAGCCGTTCCAGGAACCGTGTCTAGGTCGCTGTAGTGGTTCAAGTGTGACTGCTCATCCCCCATTAGCAAAGCAGATAACATGAATTCTCGAGTTGGCTCTCGGGTAGCTTGATTCTGTTTCCGTCGACTGAAACGAGAGGCCTTGACGCAGATAAGACGCTGCCCCAGTTCGCGACAATGACATGGAGCATCACTGCGTGGCCGTGCATAGCTGACTGACGTGCGGGGCTGGAACAACGAGCCAGCATGGGCATGCTTAGTTCAATTTGGCTCAATGAGCTACTCGAACTCTCTTGAGCCGGGTGGCTGATATCGAACTCAAAGTAGTACCGCGTTGTCGCACAGTTTTCAAAGCTCCTGGAATGGTCAATGTGGTGAAGGACGCTAGAATCCATCAAAGCGTTGCCCACACGAATTGCCTCAGCCGGACACCTTACGAATCGTCGGTCAATCAGTCGGTCTACCAGGAGGGCCCCAGGGAAGGTGTGATAAGCCCCTGTTGATCCAGTACTGGATTCGCTTACGACAGAGGAGTATTCACCCAGATCACTCATTAGATCGAGTACCAGTCGCGAGCACAATTCCTCCTGAACGTCTTCTAGAGCAATGACGACTTGTTTTGCTGAAGGACGAAGACCAGGATCACGGTGCCAGGAACGCTGAATTATCCCGCGTAATCGAAGAGGCGTGCTGTTACTCAACCTGGGGCGTTCACCATGCAAGATTTCTTCAATTACTTGCACATGATCTCCGTTTGTTTGTGGGAATTTGTCACCAGTGGGGTGTAATATATCCCACATCGTAATAGCAAGAGAATATACGTCGGCAGCTTCTCCATAGACGCCCTGATCTCCCTGCTCAATTATCTCTGGTGCTGTATACTCTGTCGAGTTCTTTTCAATGTGAAAGCTCCATATTGAGTCAATCTGAGATTCCGTTGTGCCCATCGGCGAATCAATCGCAAATTGTTTTTCTTCAAGAATGGGGACGTTTGCCTTTGGGATCACCGTTCTCCTTTCCGCATTGGTCACACACCTGGATTCGCCAAAGCTTGATAATTGCACATTGCATTCTGCATCCACAAGAAAACTTGATGGTTTAATGTTGCAGTGGACAAAGGGAGGTGAGAAGCTATGGAGGTAAGCTACAGCACGAGCTGCATCCAGCATTTGACCAATGCTGATCAATAGTTGCTGTCGGTCAGGGTGAACAGTACGTCGACGAGCCTGATTCTTCAGAGTGTCGGCTAGGCTACCTTGGCAAAGTTGAAACACAAGGCATATAGTAGGAGGTGCTACGCACATTCCGTGAAATTTAACGATGTTGGGGTGGTTCAAAACACTGCACATGGCTGCTTCATGCGAAAAAGCTGCAACGACATCGTCTGAACAACTTGTGGGGGAATATGCTTTGACAGCAACGTGCGTCTTCATCTTCAACGTTCCTTGAAACACAGTCGACTTGGAACCCACCCCAAGCTCCTGAACGAGCTCCAGATAAGCAAAATCGAGCACAAATCTTCGGTTCATTTCAATAAGCAAGTGCAAACCCTTAGACGAGACGCGCTCGCTCAGGCCATTTTCGTGTTGAAAATAGTCTTGCAGAGCACAAGCGCGCTGTCCGACTCCTCGCCAATACTCGGTGTCCGCTTTCAAAACACGCCAGACAACCAGAGGACAAAAAATAATCCAGCATAATATCACGTAGACGATATGGTGACTCACGTCCGCAGTCTTTGGATTGAGTGCAAGTACGACAACAAGGATTGTGACGAGGGTGAAAACTGTGGCAGCAAAGCACAATTCTCGTATGATTCGTTTCGTCGCTCGGCTTGGAGGCTTAATGAATGCGTACACGTACGGAAGTGTTTGCAGGCCATGAACAAACTGGAGGCCAAGTGCAAACTCCTTTCGCTGGTCTGGACGATCGAATGTTGTTACTATCCAGACGTACAAGATAGGGTAGTACGACAGAAGTAACGATACTCCTACTACTCGCTTGATGGCTGGAAATGAGAGGCTTTTCTCGAACATCAGGACCAGAACTATCACAAACATGAATTGATTTCCCCCATAAAACGATTCAAATATGGCTGGCGAGATGGACACGTTAAAGTAGTCCGTTGGGAGCGTCACCCCCAGGAAGACAATGTAGATGCCGTTGATAATAGCCAGCACGAACAGCACTGGTTCGTATGCAGGTAAAATCACCTTTTTTGCTGCTTCTGCATTTCCTCTTAAAGCCCCCGCTCGATTCACCCTCAAGTGCCAAATCAAGCCCACACAAAGCAGCCAAATGGTCACGAATCCTAGCAAGACGAACACCAATACTACGCGCATGTGCTGAGCCGCTTTCTCCAGGGATTCGTGGTCCTCGTGTCCAGTGGATATCGCCATCGTCTCGTTACCTCCAAGAAATCTCCCCAAAGCTACCGCTATCATAATTCCAGATGTCACTAGTAGACCAGTTGGCCCAGAGCACTTGATGTGAAGTCGAGAAGTGGCAAATGATGGAAAGGAATGAGCGTTTCGTTAGCACCAACTTCCCACGCCTGCAACCATTGTGGGAGACACGTCTTACCTGTTGGTCGCAACCCAAAAACCACAAGAAGTCTTTGTGGGGGTTTAAATTAAAATAGACGCGTTAGCGTGTCCCTCTTCCTTGTGTAATTAACAAAAATGTTTTAATGTCAAAAACTGTTTCTAATAAGTATGCTGAGATTGCGGTTTTCACGCAGCAATGATTGTGAGTACGTTGGTCTGAAACTGCTTTTAACATCCTGAAGCAGCAAGCTAATAAAAGCAAGTCAGCTGACAAAGCAGTTTCCACACGACATTTGCAGCGTTGCACACCCGATCGTCCTGATGACTCCGTAGACTCCACTGTCTTCAGAGCTAGCGGTTGCAGTGGACCCAGAATATTTGCCCTCGACATCGAGAAGGGGACTACTAGCAAACCCCCTTTTAGTTAAAATTTGCGACGAATGCAAAACTGCGCGAGGAATTATAGTAGAAGTCACTTCTTCTCGGGTGCCCATGTGGAAGATCCCCTTTAGTCGGATAAGGTTAAATCCACCGAATTTGTCGAACGGAACGCACGTTTTACCGCTCCTAACGACGTTCAATCACGCCTAGAATTTAAATCGCTGTTTCGTGAGAATTGTTGTGTCTCTTAAATAGACACAAGTAGGCCATCTACAATTTTAAGCATAGACATTTCCCTTTTCATCCATCCAAAATGCTTCTTTCTCTTCATGCGCACTCCACTCTCGCCGATGCTGCACAGTAACAATCATCAATACTTCGACACGACAACAAGGACTATATCAGAAATCCAGTTTTAGATTTCACACTTCAAACGTCTTCTCCGCGCCGAATCCACAAAGGTAGGGTACCGTGGTGCACATTTATCAGATAGAGATCGAAGTTGGTGTGCTGATGTCGTGCACCATTGGCAAAATAAGCTTAAGCGTTTTTGGGGAAGCTCACTTGTTTGTGCAAGGGGACAACAAGTTCTTATCAGCATAAACACGGCTCAATATTTCGTTTAATTATATTAAATCTCTTTTTATCAGCTTCATCTCCAATTCTATTAACTATAACGACCCACCTCACTAAAACCTCTTGACATCGTCTCAGCTGCCAGTACCGAAAGAGACACACTGAACTTAAGCTGGCCCCGCTCACGGTTAGCCATGGAGATCTTCCAAGACGGCGAGCTCGAGGCTGAGGTGAGTCATCTGCTTCTATGACCCTTCCAAGGTTGACGCCTTTAAACTGGCAAGGCATTTCTAACGACCGTTTCTCGTCGATCTGATAACACCGTTATGTCTGGCAGATGCACAAGCGCGACCTGCAAGCCAACAGCATCGGAAGCTGGTGGAATCTTTTCTCGGAGACATACGAAGAGATGGTGCAGTCTATCGCTAGCCCCGTGCGGGCTGAGTACGCGATACAGGAGCTGGGCGATCCGCAGTTCAGTCTCGACACTGTACATGATAAAAATGTAGAATTCGTGCGTGAAGACTTCCATCTTCAGAACGCACACGGGGAGCACTTGGCTTGTAGTTTCTGGCGTCGTAGAGTAGTACGAGACGCAGATCCAATTGCAGCACTGTCCACCTCATCGTCTTCTTCCTCGCTGAACAGTGACGAAGAGAAGGAGTCCACTGTGTGCTCGACGGAAGAATCATTGGTGGAAAGTAACAGCACGGACAGCAGCAGCAATTCCAGTTGTAGCAGCCAACAGCCAGCGCAACTTATGGACATAGACCCATGCATTATCTACCTCCACGGTATGTCAAGCTCTCGCAAAGAATGCATTTATTTATACCGCAAAGTGCTGGCGGCGGGGTTTTCGCTATTTGCGCTGGATCTGTCTGGCTCGGGACTTTCTGGCGGTGATCGCGTGTCATTTGGATACTTTGAACATGGCGACTTGAGTACAGTTGTAGACTATCTGTATGCTACAAGACGCGCGTCGACTGTAGGTATTTGGGGACGCGATATTGGATCGGCTGCAGCACTTCTACATGTGAAAGAACGGATGTCGTATCGTTATCAAACTATAAAGCTTTCGAACAAAGACGCAAAGAAACTCAAGGTCGTGGAGGACAAAGAACATCGCCACATTCTGTGTATCCCTCCAGTCACAGGCCTGCACTTCCGGTTCAGTAAGTACAGCGCATCAAACGGTGACTTCGTGCTGCTTGCTATCGACAACGTTCCTGTCCAAGGATTAAGTGCAGCAGCGTGTCATCGACTGATTCAACGGAACTGCAAAACAAACAGTAAATCCCACTTACAGGGCTTTAAGAAGCGCTCCTTGAGCGATACTGGAAAGGACAGGTTCATCTTTGCTTTGGCGGCCGACAGCGCGTATGGAGACATGGAGCAAGTTATTTGGGATATGCTACAGATGATCACTAAGAGCGCTGAGCGACGCAGTTTGTACTTTCCGTCTGCGATGGTCACAGCGTCGCAGAAAATCCTGACGAACTCGATCGGGAAAGCTGGAGGCTTCAGCTTCAACGACGTCCGGTTGCTCGATGCAGCGCCATATTTTACACTGCCGTGCCTCTTTATCAGCGCGTCGAAGAAAGATTTCTTCATGCCAGAACACTCCAAAGCCCTCTTTAACCGGTATGGCGGCTCCAAGAGCTATGTTCAATTCACAGGCCAGATTGATGACAATCGGCCTGCTGAAGTGCTAGACACTGCGATCTCGCACTTCAGTAAGAGAGTCAAACTGCTGACGAGGTAAAAATAATGTTTCGATAGTAATGTCATGTACATTTGTTTGCTATAAAATAAACTACGTAGTTTTTCAACGAGCATTTTCTATTGCATAATAATAATGAACCCATGACAGACACTGTTTATTTGCTCAAAATGGCGGGAGTCTTTGACAGGTTCCGGTTCGGTGCTAAGCGCCAGCGCAGTGAAGACACAGCGGACGCCACTCCATCCGTTAAGGTCAATGCTAACGATACTGCAGATGCTGTCGTGAAAGCTTTCGCGAAGAGGAGCAAGAACCATTATAGGGAGCCGGAAAGGGAGATAAAAGCTCAAGCGAGCGGCAAGTGGCAGGAACGCTGGCATGCCATCTGCGATGACTGCTTTGAGCAAGCTCAGCCTTGTTTGCACCATCCAGAACGTCGTCTTCGCTTGCTTATTGTCGGTCATAATCCCTCCGATCACGCGTGGAAGACTGGGTATTCCTACAGGTGAGTGTAGTTAAACTACGTGTAGCAGACATCATTTTAACTCATCGCTCGCAATGGTGACCATAGTAACCCAACGAATCGCATGTGGATGTTATTGACTGGAACCCTTTCTCCTCACTCCTGGGAAGGCATCGTGCCTTCAACAGCAAGAATCGATGAGCAAAATATCTTGCCTGATGTTCATGGCGTCGGCTTCACTTCAATCGGATTAGAGGTACCGCCTTTAACAGTTTCCGCTTTGATACTACACGTGTATATTAACACTTCGTATTGTCTCGAACAGCCTGGCAATGATGCTTCAAAGTACGGCAAGGCAACAAGTAGGGATAAATCCATTCTTCGGTCTTGTTTTCGTGCACTAACTCACCCATCTCTGCTTTAGTGGAAGCATGGCGAACGAGCTTCTTCCAGCGACTACGTCGCCATGCTGTCCAAGTCTGCTTGAATGACCACAGCAATGCAACAGAAGTTACCGTCAAACGAGAAGACGGAGATGAAGAAGCTCGACAGACCAAGTGCGAGCTTCCTCACGCCCCCATACTGATCGCATTCTCCGGTAAACGTCAGTTCAGCTACTTATTCTCACCGGCTTTATCCAAGATCGAGAGCTACGGCAAACAATCAAAACTGCCTCCTGGTTGGCCACACGAGCTTCGTGCAGATAGCGAAGTTTGGGTTCTTCCGAGCTCTAGCGGCCGAGCTGCCATGACAACGGCGCAACGTACACTGCCCTATCAACAGCTAGCGGAGCGTCTGCGTCAGATCCCGTGGGGTGTCGTCAAGAAAGAGTAGCAAGTTAATATTTTACTTGGAAATCATGCTCAAGATGTCGCTAATCTTCGGTCGTGCGGACGGCACATACGACATACAACGCAATGCCAACTCCCGCAAGCCAACAGGAGAGTCTTCTGCAAGCGACGGCTTCAAGCGTTGTGCAACTACCTCGGTTGCAATAAAAATATCAGCCATAGTGGAGCCACGCTCCTCCGATACGTGCTCAAACAGCTTTCTACGCGACGAAATCTCGCAGAAAATGACACCAAGCGCGTACACCTCAGCTGCGTGTGTAATTTCCTCGCCCTTGAGTAGTTCTGGTGCTCGACTAGCGATATCTCCGTTCCCGAATGACCGCACAGGTATTAAATCTGTCCGAAGACTCGACGCGTAGTCGAAGATGTCAAGCTTGCACGTCAGCTGCGCGTCAAGCAGCACACTCCTAGCCGTGAGATTTCGGGACAAATTACTTCCCTGAATCGAGCGAATAAAATCCAATCCGCTGCAGATATCCTTGCACATTTGAAGCCGTTGAGGCCACGTCAGTTCGATCGTATCATCAGCCAGCACCGACCTCAAACTGCCCTTAGACATGTGCTCTACCACGATGAGAACTTCTTCACGATCTGTCCAACTGGATCCCAGGAAGGTCACGATGTTATCGTGTCGAAGCGGGGCATACGACAGTCGAACTGTGTTCAGTTCGTCCAAGACCATGTTCAACTCTCGAGGCACAAACTTGAGTGCCACCACCTTCGTGTCCTGATACTCGCCCAGCCACAGACCTTGAATGCCTAACTTCTTGTGGAGTGTCACTTGGTCTTTGCCTAGATCCATGTCCGCCAAGATCTTCGAGTCTCTTGGAGCATGCTCTAACTCGGGTTCACTTCTGCGACCTGCTCCAAGTAAATCGTCCTCACGATTCGTAAAAGTCAATCGCTCGTCGACGAATTTGCTCGCTTTCCTCTTAAACCGACGGAAGAAGGAGAGAACCACAACGATGATCACTGTACACGCGCAAGCCAGAGCAATCGCGGTAACCGACACAGTACTTCGAGAGCTGCTGGTGTCACTGGCCGATTGTGTCTCAAGAGATCCAGCGGCTTGTGCGCTGTCCAGGCTTCCAGTGTAGTAAGAAGTATTCGTGTCCTGCACGTCGTTCACAATGCAAATTGCCAACTCGCCGATCGATTCTTCCTTAATACAAGACGATGATCCGCTGCCCGTCGAATCCACAGAGTTCCCTGTAGCTCTGAAGTCCGAGATGTTCGATAACTGCGTGTACTCGTCTTTCGTCAGCTCTATCGGCCCCGAAATATTGTTATGTTCCAATATACTACAGCAAAAAACAAGTGCAATGTCAGCAAAATCCTTTTGACATGATTGTCAGCACACAGTCAACGTACAGCGTCGTCACTCCTGACCCAAGTACTGCCGTCGGGAAGGATAAGTTACTCTTCCGGATTACAACCTGCTGGATCGTCCCTGTGGGGCCTAGCTCGAAGTGTTTTACAGTCGATCCATCGATCATCCTGCAGTCATAACAATAACAATCAGTACACTGTCCTCTCCTCGTTCTCTTCTTCTTTCTCGCCCCTTACAGTTGGTTCAGATCCACCCCTGCTGGCAGCCATTGGTCCTCGAACGTCGCCTTTACGCCGTCGAAATGAACCTGCACAAGTCCCGAGAGTTCTGCCAGTGCGTCGTTCGCAAAAGACAGCGACATGTCCACACTCTCCAGTGGTGTGGAATCTGCCTGTATCAGTAGCCGCGAGACAGCCACGTCGAGCGCGTCTGAGAACTGCACGTCCACCAGCACCGTACGATTGGCGCCTCCACCTTTCGAAAGCATCTGTGAGAGCGGTGTGCTCCAGTTGTTGAGCATCCACTCGCCTCCAGTCACGTACGAGTCCAAAGTGACTGGCGAGAGGTCCTGAGATGTCGTGAGGAGGTCCGTGATGGCGGCGGACGAGAGCTCTAGAGGCACCAGCGTCTGACCCGAGTGGAGAGTACTCACGTTGGCTGTGTGAGTGAGCACGAAACGCTCGCTGGCGGACGCTCCAAGCGTCTGCAGCAGCAGGAACAGGATGGAGCAGCGGTGTCGGGTCTCCATTCTCGAATGGCTTCTGCAACTCGAAGAATTTTTATGATATACCGGTAGTTATCGGTTTATTGTATTTGGGTTTTGTAAGGTGTGGAGTGGACAGACGTGGTGCTGGAAGTGCTGGGGCATGGGCGGGACTTGCGAAGATGATCCTTTACATGGCAGGCCTAAAGTTATGGCTGGTGCGACGCGAAAATGATCAGGGCGGAATGATTGGCGGTTTTTGTCACGGAGTTGACACTGAAGTGCAGTAGATAGGATCAGCAAATGCAGTAAGGGTTTGCTTCAGGTCGAATCGAGTGTCGATGGCAGTTATTAGAAGGAGGTTCCGAGTGCACTCAATCGACGTTAGTAGAGACTCTCTACTATTAATAGAGAGAGGGCTCAGCAGACAAGATGGAACCACGAAATGACGCTGAGGAAGCTTCTTCAGGAAAGCATGGAGATCTGCTGGGCCACGTAGCACCGGATACACGTGCAGCGAAAGACCCGCAAAAATTTGTGAGCTCCCAACACGGAACGACAGCAGCAGCCCCTGTGTAGGTTCGCTCCGAGTCCAGTGTTGGCAGTCGGGGACTAACTGGCCTGGTCAAAATTGGATTTCAACAAGGGTTTTCGGCCAATCGGCCATTAATAAAGGCCACGGCCATTAGATTATATGATTATAGAGGTTTAAGCTTGTTATAAAACTTGGTAGGTTTCGCTTTACACTACGATTTAGCAAAGAAAAAATGATATTTTAATAACATCGGGTGTTAGGCTTGGAACCCTTATATGCCAGCTTGGCACGCTGGAGAATGCATAACGCCCTCCATGTATGTCACCACTACCGCGTGGGACTGATGCGGGTGCTTGACAGGGACGAGATCGAGCTGCGTAATCTTCGGCGCCTCACGCAGCCACGCACGGACGCGAGCGGCTTCAGCGTATGGTTCGACTTCTTCACTGCAAGAATTACTCTCGTCGAAGCTGTAGTTCTCAAACGAGCGCATACTTGCACGAACGGTTGGTCTACAGCGGTGTTTTTGTCCAGGCTACATGGTCGACATAGGAGAGCTTATTAGCAGCTGAAGCTTGCCCAGGTGAAGGTCGGCCTGATTGGACGAGATCCAGACGCATTTGAGGCGCTTCAGACGTCTTCCGTCGCCTCCAGCGTAGCGATACGTCTGGTTAAAGCTGCGTTCTCTACAGTCCAACATCATCTCAGTCCACTGCTCGTCGTCCTTTCTTGTCGGTAGTCTTCAGTGTAGATGCATGCCTGTGTTGCAATACTTGGACGGGATCGCGCAGCTAGGGCTCTTCGTCGGACAGGAATGCACGGAGAAAGACGGCGTGTAGTTTAGCTATCAGCTTCGCTAAAGTGTGAGACACTGCTTCTGCTTACAGGTGTCGTGTCCTAGCAGCACGTGACGCGCTTGAGCGCCGAAACTTTGCATCCACTCTGCGTGGGTGACGCAGCACGTCGAGACTTCCGAGAAAAAAACACCACTTCTGCTTGGACTTAATCCTGTCTCAATGTATCTGCTAAATCCAACAAGCGCGTCCATGTGCGCAGTAGGCATTGATAACAGCACATAATCACTCAATTACACCTTCTCATAGGGCAGCTTCACGTCTTTGCTCGTCGTTTTGATGGTGGCGTGGAGTCGAGGGACTCTGGTGTAACGTCCAAATCATTTTCCTTTGGGTACACCGAGCGCCAACGCTAGTACATATATTGATAACAGTACAGATACAGGCTTAATATTATTAGAAGATTTACTAAATACTACGAAGTATATCACACAAGAAATAGAGATTGTTTGTTGTACAGTACTGATAATCTCGACGATCCCGGTGATCTCGCGGATGAAGGAGACCCTGGAACTGTGGGAAGAGGTTCTTGACGACATCTTTCAAGACGATGAGATCAGTACCGAATACGCTCGTTCAAAAGAAAATGTTGACGAGGTGAGAGCTCGAATCCATACCGCATCCAGTCAGAATTCCGTTCCCAAACGAAAACCAGGCCGACTTCCCTCGTGAGAATACCATTCACGGGATTCGAGCCGTGAAAATGACATTAGCAGATCTTTCTGCTGAGTAGTAGTGTTGAATATTCCTGTACAAACGTCCCATTACAGCTTCTTCGACGTTCATCAGCGCTACATCCAGCTGCAAAGTCTCACAACAGCCGTCGTCATCTCCATCACAGCGAATATGTCACGAACAAATCGAGCGGCTGTCTTCGTTTGCATTCGTCTAGATCAGATATAGCTTCTTGTGTACTTGCCGGCCTTGGCAGCCGAGAACTGCGAGACGATGTGGGCGCTCTCCGCACAAGTTTTACTTGAGACCTTCCACGCCCAAGGGTCCACGGCCGTGAATGCGGCCAGTACTGATACCAACCTCAGCGCCAAGACCGAAGCGGTAGCCGCCAGCAAAGCGAGGGCTGGTGTTGTGGAGCACGCACGCGCTGTCGACCATCAGCTGGAACGGCTCGGCAGCAGTGGCGTCCGTTGCACTCTGTGTGGCCACTGCTGTACTGGTTGATGTGAGCAACGACAGCACTAGCACTGATGACCATCTCGATTGAAGGTCCGTGGAGCCGAGCTCTGTAGACAGCGTGTCTGTAGAGCGCGACTAGACAGTAGCAACGCTCAACTCGGCAACGTAGGGGTGATGTGCAGGTTGGCGCCAGCCTCTCCAAGCTTTACCAGGATCTCCTCGTCCTACCCTTTGCTCGCCAGCTATTCATCGAACAAGAACGTCTCAAGTGCAATACAACCTGCGAGGTAGTCCGTTATGGCGTCAACAACGAGCTCAATGGCCTTCTTCAAATCATCTGCACTGGGGATGTACGTACGTAGCAATCTAAGACGTAGATTGGGTCCATTTCAGTGTACTCGCCTCTAGGGATCTGTGTATTGGTAACAACAGCAACACTTGAGCGTCTCTAGCATGGTCGGGCCCTTCTCTCCGTCGTCCAAGACCGCTGCTGTTGGCAGTGTGAGCTCTTCTAATGAAGTGAGCGTGGGGTCACTGGAATGTAACGAGACGATTACGTTGCTATCCTGTTCCAGTTCGGCGGGATTTAGCGCAACAACATCGTCTTCGGGCTCCTACAGTGGCTGTTGAGGAGGCTACGCTGCGTGCTGGATCGCTAGCGAACGCAATGGCAAAATGTGCGCGCTGGACGCGTATCCGTTTGCTTCAGAGAACGGCAATATGGCAAGCTACTTGACGAATTCCTGCCCAGAATTTGAAGTTGGTGTGACCGGTTACGAATTCGTTCGTGAAGATCCTGGCGCGGTTGAGGATGCCGTGCGCAATCAATGTCGACCTTCCTGTACAGCGATCGACTGCTTTCCAGTACTACTCAGGTGGCGCGCTTACGGGCGCGAACTGCAATAAGACCTCGGGACTTGGAGTGGGTTTGGTGAGAGGGAAGATAGCATTCTGTATTGGCGCATTAAGAAGCAGTGGGGATACTTCATTGAATGAAGATGGTTACGTTCATGTCCAGCGCAGCTTCTCCGGAGACAGCAAGATGCATACTGTGTCGAGCTGTACGCGACCTGGTCTACCTTTGACGTCTCGGCAGCCCTACTTCGTCTCCGACACCAATACATTCGCTCCTCCCTTTACCTCCACCCCCTTCGTCACAGCTGTAACGCCTTGGGTTCCCCCGGTCACGACAGTGGCGCCTTCAACTAGCCCGGGCATAGCCATACCTTCAACAGCAGAAACCGTGGTGGATCAAACTGCCAGCGCAAGTGCGGCATTGGGCTCTGAGCTCCACCATCACAAAGGGTGGCGTTGATCAAGTGACAAGCGCCACATCAGGTTCGATCGCGCAAATGAGGCGGTGAACACGGACGCAGCCGATGACTCACTTGATTCGACGGAAACACCTGCAGCAACTGCGATTGTCCAAGTGTTGCTGGTGATGCGTTCTACACCGCAACAAGCACGGGCAGCTGGGGATATGCTTCCGATACTAGAGATTTTCATGATGGATTAACCATGCCGTACTTGAAGCTGCTGGTAACGACCGCAGCATTCACCCCCTGCGAGATATTAATAGCCGACTGCCCAGCCTCAATCTTGGCGCCCAAAACGCCACGTCTGACACTCGACTTCGACGATCTTGATGCTGTTATTCTCGGGACAGGAGACCGAGATGACCTTGCCGCCAGGTTGGCTGGGTGGCTCCCTCCACTTCTGTATGAGCAGTCTCGCGGCCCACCAACACAGCGAGGGAGTCGTGAAGACGGTACCATCCGGCGAGGCACCGACGTAGTCGTTCTCTTTGTCCATTGGGGCGACGGCCAGCTCTAGCAGCTTCCACAAACATACTGGCGTTGTAAGTGCGGCTGGCGTTAAGCCGTTTGGGGCGCTGTGATTTATTAATATTTGATATGAATTAACGTATCGCACTTAGTGCACTAGACATTTAAATCGTAGGGTTGAAACGAGTTATTTAATCCTTTCGACATGGCTTTAGGCCAATAGACAGGCCCGGCCATTGGCCTGCGGCCAAAACCCATGGCCTTTGCCAACACTGCCCAGTCGGTGGATACCGACCAGTTGAGATGGTGGTCCAGCATTTTGCGGCATGTTTCTTCCCTTCGGAGCCCTCCGAGGGCTTTTTTGGTTCGTGGCTGGCATCTTTTGTCGAGCAGGCTTACAGACTTGTCTGCTGTCCGCACAGTAAATGCAGGCGCTCTAGTACATGTAAAATGGAACAGTGGTGTGATTCATGTCTGGGCCAGCCTGATGTACAGTATTCTATAAATATTGTAATCTTCGCAGATAATTAACACATTTACAATGCCTTATCATTAACCTTAAAAAAAGAGATATTAAATATCTCTTCTTTTTTACAAATTTTGTACCGAAGCTGATTTAAATATGTTAAAGGTTAAGGGTTAAAATAATTTAAAGATGAACGATTGTTGCGGTGCTCTAGTAGAGCACTTGATACTACTTTGCACCGTGTACTGTGCAGTCACTTTGTAACGAACCTA